CTTTTGGTGGGCAGTGGAATCACTTACAACAGTAGGGTAAGTTGATTTAGATTTGGGTATTGGTGGGATTTTTTTTTCATAGCGTCCTTTGAATGTAACCAAAAATACGCAAAATTGTAAAACCCATTTTTTTGGCGAAATTAATACATGTGTCGGGTTTATCAAAATCTTCACCACACCAGGGTTCCATTCTTCAATTGGCCTCCAGTCTTACAAATAACTAGTTGTTACGTGGTATCGGGGTCCTCTCGTTTACAGTTCTTCACAGCTTATAAAGCAAAATGAACAGTAGCAAAGAAAAGAAAAAGAATTTTCCATTGCATATCTTAAAATCATGATTCAGTTTTTTATCTATTTATTTTTTGCATATATACATGTCCAGCACACCTGAACCGCTACGATTCGTCTACGGTCGTTGACGAATCGACACACCGGAAGTCAAATCGTACGTTAACATACCAGAAGTAGAGGTTGGTAAGTAATTTTTGAAAATGATTCGTATAGCATACCGGAAGTCGAATCGTTCGTTAACATACCGAAAGTCGAGGGGCGTAAGCAATGAGTGAAAATGAGTAGCATGAAAAGAGAAAATGACAACGTGAACCTTCCACGTTCTTAAAGCGTGAAACAGCTACGATTTGTCCACGGTCGTTCACGAATCTACACACCGGAAGTATGACGGTTCGACATCAACTGTGACGAGTCGTTCGATTCGAGTCGATTCGACAACATCTCCAACCCACCTTCGTAGTTACTCGCGGAATATTTTCTAAGTGTCTTGCAAATCGACTTCCGGTATGACGGGTCGACATCAGCTGCGACGAGTCGTACGATTCGACAAAATCTGCAACCCCCTTTCGTGGCCACTTGCGGAATATTTTCTAAGTGTCTTGCAAATCGACTTCTGGTGTGACGGGTCGACTTCAACTTAGACGAGTCGTTCAATTCGACAACATTTTCAACAACCCTTGACAGTTACTTATGAAATATTTCCTAAGTGATTTGCAAATCGACTTCCAGTTTCCATCTAATGAGAGATGGTTTATCAGATTTCCGGTATAACGAGACGCATTAACCGCATTAACCGGCCTTGACGAATCGTAGCAGTTTGGGTGTATTGGACAACCCTCTTCCTATACTTACTACACTATCTTCAAAGCGCGAAGATATTTGGTTCCTTTTTCTCATTAGGTACGGTGATAAGACGCCTAAAACCTTCTGTGGACGTTCATTTGGTATAATATGGATTCTGATAGGAGCTATAACGTTGTCGCTGTTCACCGCCTTAATGACAAATGCTATCCAAGCTTCCCTGGATGGTACGAGGTGTAGGGACATCGGTGGCAAAAAGGTTAGTAACCCTAACATGAATACCTAAAACCCTTTGCACCCTAACATCATTATGCCTCTTCTCTATGGTTTTCTCCATAAATTTCTTAAGGTGCTGGAAAAAAGAATTTTTTTTAACAATCAAGAGTTTCTTTAGTTGGTGATCATTTCTTCTATTCTCGTAACCCTAATGTCTGATTCAGGTGTGACATTGTAAGGAAATATTAGTTGATTATTTTCTTGGTTTCAAATTAGATTCCCTACATTTTTCAATTTATCCTAAACGAAGCGTCGAAAGGCCTTTCCCTGGAAAAGTTATTCTACCAATAAATGGATCCTACCCTCATCGATCGAACTCAGGAACAACTAAAATGAGTCACAGGGCCGAGTTGTTAAAAGCAGGGTTCAGATAACTCAGTAGTAATGTGAAATCTTATTTAAGATCTGAAAGCTGTAAAAGAAAATTCAGTATAATTCTTTTTGTCCACACTTATTGGATGCTCTTAGGAAAAAAAAAATAGAGAAAATTATTCGAAAGAGTTTGCTGGACAAAGGTCTAAAGAAACCCGCATGAAATTAACCCCGGATTAGCGCTACTCAGACTTCGAACAGCTAAGCTAGGAATTATGAGCTACCTGAGTCCGAGTTAGCAAGTTGTATGGAAGAATGAAATTAGCATTAAACAATTTTAATTGATTGTCGAAGTGGAAAATTGCTCTGGTTTTGTACAACTTCGGATATTGTTGGCCCTTTCAACAACAATGCCTTCCCTGTTCCTATTATTTAGGGTGGGTCTTTCCGGAACTACAACTTAAGTGTACTTTCGTTGTACAGGTTTTTCATATTCTTTGCAAGAGGAAAGTACTTATCATCTGGCACTAAGCCTTTATAGATTGTGCTAGTAAAAGAAGCATAGTATGCTAGTGGTATTACTCGATCATTTTTCAAATGGTGCTCAAAATTAAACTCCTTTTTGAAAATTGTGCTACTTTTTATTTAAGTGCGCTTTACAAAAAAAAGAAAAGAAACAAATCAAGTTTAAAGTATATGTTTGTTGTCAATTAAGCATGAAATCTTCTTCATTTTGAGATACATACTTGCTCTGACAAAACATAATTAACTATTGGATTCCAGACGAGAGCAGTGACTTGACGAGTCAAAATGTAAGTTTCTCTTCGGCGCTATTTTGTTGCCTGTGAAAGCGGGAACTATAAACGATGTAATCTTTACTACGGGTATGCCCAGTCCTTTAGACAACGAACGATTCTATACTGCGGTAACCCTCTTCTTCCAAGACATTGAAAACCTGAAAATAGACATGAGCCATGGACCGAAAATTATTCTTGCGGAATCTATAAGGAACCAACTGGCACATAAAAATTTGTCTGACGCTAATTTACTTGTTAGGTGGGTGTGTCCAACAAGAATCCTGAAACGCATATAGTCGCTATGGAGCTGGACGCAGACTTTGTCAGTAAGTAATTCTTTTCAGGTTATTTCAATGTTCTTGTATAACGTGTTGCACGACCATTGTTCTTCAGGAACGACTACGAAGGTAAAGAAATAAGCTTAAAAATGACCTTTTAATTTTCAGTCATATTTCATATATTTTTGTATCAAAACTCTAAGGAGAAGTTTCTCCACCGCTTTTTCTCACTTTATTCATGTAAGAATTTGCGTTGGCGACCAAATCAAATAAACTTTTAATTAACAGAGTTCAACAACCTGGATGAAATGCAAGAAAGTCTTAGCCAAGGAACAATTGGAAGAGTAATGGTGGATCGCAATACTGCATTTCACTTTTTGGATAAATCTGGTTTAAAACGAAACAGGCAGATCCGAATGATTCGTAACATCGATTATCCAATGGAATATTACCTGGCTCACGTGAGCCATGACGTAATGGCGTCACCGAATGACACGAACGATTCTGATGACGAAGTATTGGATAGAAAAATTCAGCTTTCGGTTTGCGGGGAAAGCCTGAAAGAGTTATCAGCGGATATGGTTGCATATGCAAAAGAAACTGCTAAAGAGCAACTTATGCCTGCCGAATTACAGGTAGTTAATTGTTTTTTTGTGAATTTTCTATATTTCACCACGCACCATTCTTCTCTTTATGTTTAGCATTTATTCCGATGCAATTAACAGTTTGAAAATTATTTGTTTCTTTTGTAGACAGCAGATTTGTCCGATGAAATGGAAGGGTTATTCTCCACCGGCTCACAAATGACCAAATTTATATTATTAGCCTTATTGGGAATACTTGCCTTCCTACTGATCATCGGCAAACTTTGGGAAGTCTACACCAACTGTAAGCCAATGGTACACAAGAAGAGAAAAGGTAACTACTTCTTAAATTAATTTACCATAGGTTCCTGCAG